AACTCTTGGGAAAATAATAATAATAATAATAATAATAACAACAGTAACACCTAGAAATACTCGTGAAATTTTCACGGTTTTCCTATTTGAAATTTCTTATGAATCTTAATTCTTAAGTTACTGATTCATGGCGTGTTCTCTGACAATAAAATATCCGTAGAAATGCCCTTATCGCATCGTTAAAGATTTGTGCTTAATAACTTTAGAAAAAAAATATTGGATTAACAATCATAAATATGAATGCTGGTCGTTATTTTAAGAAGTAAGGTCGTTATTTTAAAATTTTTTCGATTTGGCGGAAATAGACGTTAAACACTTCTATCTTCCATTCTTTCATTTTCGCGCTGAAACCAAGTTGCATCTTTGACATGTCTCTTGTCTTCTCACGTGATTAAGACGGAATAGTCCATTATTTATGAGGTATTAGCAAGAGACGTTAAAAACTTCTTTTTCCTTTCTTTCTTTCATTGAAACCAAGTAGCGTCTCTCATATGTCTTTTTTCTTTCCACGCGAATAATCCAGTATTTATGAATTATTGGCTGTGCGTAACGATCGTGCAATCTATGATAATAATAATAATAATAATAATAATAATAAGAAGAAGAAGAAGAAGAAGAAGAAGAAGATTCTCTGCCCATCACACACTATCTGCATGTGACTTTCCTTACGTGTATGCAATATATATGTCTGTGCTTTGCGTGTGTGACTTACATGTGTTTGCGCTATTTTATGTCCACATATGTACAAGGCATGGTGGAGTAATGGATAGCGTCTCAGATTGAGGAATCACAGACCCGAGTTCGAATTCCATTCGAATCCATGACATTTACTTACGTGCTAATACACTTGAGAAATGTATGAATCGTCTTCTTCTCTACCCCCCTAGCTATGGATAAATTGCCGGTCCTTCTCTTCGACTAGTTGCCTTGTTCTAGAAGGACAAATCTGAATTCAAAACCTGATCCTCCAGGTTGGAGATTGTGCAGTAGGCTAACAACCTACTCAATTAAAAACTGGCTTGTTACAGAAACAGCAACGATATCTTGCGGTCCTCAAGGAATTTAAAGGCATAATATATATATATATATATATATATATATATAAGGTGTATTCGGCAGTAAGAATTCTCTCACATATGTTTTGATATTTTTTTTTGTTTATTAATTTAATTTTTCTTCGCCCTCAAGATAATGGTAAATAGCAGGACAGACTGGATTCTATAGCCTTGGATGGCAAATGGTCTAGGAGGACAAATCTGAATTCAAAACCTGCGGAGGGTCGTTTGGGGACCTTGTGGCACTTAGTGCATCAGGTCTCTGTATTCGTCCATTCAAAATGGGTGGATGATCCTGCACGAAACCTTCACCACTATAATCAAATCTCATGTGCTGTTGTCGGGCTGTCGGTTTGCTAACAACTGATCTGCTTGACTCTCATACGTCGAATTCGATGGGAGAGAGTATATATATATATATATATATATATATATATATATATATATATATATATATATATATATATATATATATATATATATGTTGATACCGACATGGATTGATGTATCAGAGAGCCGAGTTCGAATTCCAGTCGAATCCATTACATTCACTTACGTGCTAATACCCTTCGGAAAGGTGTGAATCCTCTTCTTCTCTCTCAACTATGGGTAAATAGCAGGACTGGATTCTATAGCCTTGTATGGCAACTGGCCTAGGAGAAGGACAACTCTGAATTCTGATTCTCCAGGTTGTACAGTAGGGTAACAACCTACTCACATAAAAAACTGGCTTGTTATAGAAACCGCGACGATATCTTGCGGCCCTATGTTCCTCAAGGAATTTAATGCCATAATATATATATATATATATATATATATATATATATATATATATATATATATATATGTATGTATGTATGTATATATATATAAGTTTGATAGCAGGGACAGTAATATTTAAAGGCTTAATACATATATGTACCAACGCACGCACACACACATACATGCATACATACACCATTTCAACTGAATTTCAAATAAGGCATTTGAATAATACATTTCCTATTCCCCTCCAACCCAGTCTGGACAACCCCTACCCTGGGCAATGCAATAGCCTCATAAAGTTAAGAAGAAATAGCTAATTTTTAAACCATTATAAGATTTAATTAATTTTGTTTTCTATTTTAAATTTTGTAGGAAAATTTTCGTCCTAACATTGAATTAAAATCTACATGCTGCCATCCAACTATATGCACTCTATTTGAATGAAACTGAAATGAAAAGAGGTCTCCCGGCAGTTAATTATCCTTTAAGTCTGCTAACAACTCCTGTGTAACAAGAAATGAGTGTAATCCGAAATGTACGGACTTTTGAAGTCATTTTTTGTCTCCTTCAGTATTTAAACTGAATATATTTTCTAAGAAATGCACCATTTTGAATGGACAAAAAATTTACATTTGAGATTTCATCATCTTGCAGTTAGCGAAGCGACAGAGATCGAACAATCAGAATAATCAAAGTTAATCGCCCTGATATCGTGACCACGAAAACAAAATGTGCTTTCTTATTGGCATTAGTTCTTGGAGACTGCAATGTACCTTTGAAGATCTTCAAAAAACTATCAGGATCTTGATGTGGAAGTCTCAACAATGTGGCATATAACCAATTGATATGTCCCGGAAGTAGCAAAGTGGTTTTGGACTACTGTAACCGAGTAGGACAATCTAGCAGGTAACAGTAATGGACTGGTCCTCGTCGTAGTGGTAGGCAATAGGTGTAGGCAATAGGCGCAGACTATAGGCGTAGTCAATAGGCGAAGACAATAGGCGTAGCCAATAGGCGTAGCCAATAGGCGTCGTCCCTGTACCTCCGCATCAGTCTGTATTTATGGCTGACACCAGCCAATCATATTATTGTGAGGGGGAATCCAGGTGTATGCATATTTTCCCAGGTGACACACAAATGCGGCCTTTTCCTTGTCAGTCTCATCAAGGGCTACCTGCCAATACCCGGACCTCAAGTCCAGCGTGGAGAAGTATTTCGCTTTCCCCAATAATGCCAATATGTCATCAATTAGTAGGAATGGCACCGCCAAAGGCTTAGAGATGGAATTCAGTTTCCTAAAATCCACACAAAAACGGTGCCCGCCATCTTTCTTGTCTACTATTACGATTAGGAAATTCCAAGGGGAAATTGATCTTTCTATCATCCCAGCTTCCAACATACTCTTTTTTGCTTGGAGTACTTTGGTTTGAATGGGAAAGGTTCTGAAAGTGTTCTGAAGAGATGGAATTCAGTCTAAAATCCGTAAAAACGGTGCCCGCCATTTTCTTGTCTACTATCTTAGGAAACTGGGTTTTTTCATCATCCCAGCTTCCAACATTTACTTGGAGTACTTTTGGTTTGAATCAAAGGTTCTGAAAGTGTATCTATGTACAAAGGCTTAGAGATGGAATTCAGTTTCCTAAAATCCGCATAAAAAACGGTGCCCGCCATCTTTCTTGTCTACTATCACGATTAGGAAACCTAGTGATCTTCTATCATCCCAGCTTCCAACATACTTTTTGCTTGGAGTACTTTGGTTTGAATGGGAAAGGTTCTGAAAGTGTATCTATGTACAAAGGCTTAGAGATGGAATAATAAAAATCCGCATAAAACGGTTCTTTCTTGTCTACTATCACGATTAGGAAACCCAAGGGGAAATTGATTTTCATCATCCCAAACATACAAAAGAAAGTGTATCTATGTACAATGTTTGTGATCTTGGATAGGTTTTTTTATTTTTATTTCACAAAATTGTTCAGCGAAAAATGTCACGATGCCATTTCCAAAATTAGGTCTCTGGTTGGGGCCCGGGGGGAAATGAGTATACAACAGAAACTAAAAGAAATAATAATAATAACAATAGTAGTTGTAATAAGGCGTTGCATGGCAAATACACAAAAAGAACGAAAGAAGCAGATGCGGACTGACGGAAAACGCATTAGTGGCTGAGGAACACCACTGGGTTGAAAGTTGAGACAGAAGGCGTAATTATTGCAGCTCAGGACCAAGAAAAATTAAATAAAAAGCTTCATCGCAGTACCTTGCCTGTCTTCTTTAATGAAACACACACACTCACACACACACACACACACACACACACACACACACACACACACATATATATATATATATATATATATATATATATATATATATATAGCAGTAGAGCCCGGCGTTGTCCGGGGATGTAACAGTAAGAGATAGATCAAGTATCGACCATTATAAAGACTGAAAAATAAAATTGACAAAGATTATTGTTTAAGGTTGACGGACATGCATGTCTTAATTAGGTTTGGGGGGGGTACGAATTGGTCAAACCCAAACTCAAACAAAAACATTGTTTTCAATCGTTATGAGTCTACCAATTGAATAGAATTTTATTATAAACAATTGTCTTGTAAATGGAATTTTTAAAGCATTCAGAATGTAAAAATAAAGAAAAAAGTGTGCAAGACAATAAGAAACACTACCTGCCAAAAAAAAGTGAAGTTTTGTTGAAATTGGTTGAAAAACGTAGGAAATCCGATCTCATATATAAATGAACACACACACAAACAAACAACGTGGGTTTTATAATAAGTATAACTCGATATGAGTTGTCCCCCTTTCATTCTCGTGATGCCTCTAAATCGTGTTTTCAAATTGATTTCATGCAAAAACAATTGTGTTATTCCAATTTTTGGCGCTGTTAGAACCACTGCAAGGTAATTTACGTAGTCCTGTGAAGTTTTGTTGAAATCGGTTGAAAAATGTAGGAAATCCGATCCAATATATAAACGTACAGACACACACACACACACACACACACACACACACACACAATCTGCGTTTTATAATAAGTAAGATACATGTATATAGGTATATGTCTATATTTCTGAAATGAGGTATTATGTACATTATTTACATTATTCGGACTATTATCCTCAAGGACACATGGGACAGTGGATAAGGGCATTAGTT